TTCCCTTCATCTAGCAAACTGGTAATTTTATATATATATAAAAAGAGAGATCAGATAAGTCTGGGATGACTTGTTTTTGAGAAACCCATGTTGACTTTTAGTGATTATGGCATTCCGTTCTAAATGTTCACAGACTCTCTGTTTAATGAACTGTTCTAGAATCTTTCCCAGTATTGATGTCAGACTAACTGGGCAATAGTTGTTGGGATCCTCTTTTTTCCCCTTTTTGAAGATGGGGGACAATATTTGCCCTCCCTCAGTCTACTGGGACTTTTCCTGTTCTCCAGGAGTTCTCAAAGATTATTGCCAGTGGCTCCGAGATTACATCTGCCAGTTCTTTTAATATCCTTGGATATAGTTCATATGGTCCTGGAGACTTGAATTCATTTAGGTCAACCAGGTATTCCTGTACTTCCTCTTTACTTATTTTGTGATGCACTTCCCCCATTGTGTCTTCTGTTCCATTTTCCTCAGGTTGAACAGCCTTTTCCTTTTGTGAGAAGATTGAGGCAAAGAAGGTGTTGAATAGTTCTGCCTTTTCTCTGTCCCCTTTTAGAATTTCTCCATCTTCTCTGCACAGTGGCCCTACCATCTCCTTATTCTTTCTTTTGTTATGGACATACCCAAAAAAGCCCTTTTTATTGTTCTTAACCCCTCTAGCAAGTCTGAGTTCATTCTGTGCTTTGGCTTTCCTGACTTTACCCCTACATGTGCTAGCTATTTGTTTGAATTCCTCTTTAGTGATTTTGCCCCTTTTCCATTCCTTATACATATCCCATTTAAAACTTAGTTCAGTTGAAAGTTATTTTGTCATCCAACTCGCTTTCTTGAGACTCCTCCCATTTTTCCTTCTCATTGGAACAGTTTGAGATTGTGCCTTCAGTATCTCCCTTTTGAGAAAATCCCATCCATCCTCAACTCCCCTATGCTTTAGTATTCTTGACCACGGGATCACTCCCAGTGTTTCCCTAAGTTTATTGAAATCAGCTCTCCTAAAGTCTAGAATGAGCATCTGACTATGCCTAGTTTCTCCTTTCCACTGTATAAGAAACTCCAGGAGAACATGATCACTCCCACCTAAGGATCTCACCACTTGCACCCCATTTACCAGGTCATCCCTATTGGTTAGGATCAGCTCTAAAATAGCTGATCCCCTTGTTGCCTCCTCCACCTTTTGGACAAAGAAATGAGCAAGTGAGGAATTTGCTAGACCTTGAAGTATTGGCTGAGTTTGACTTCCAGCAAATATCAGGCTAGTTGAAGTCACCCATCACTACTACATCTCTCCTTTCTGAGTGTGTGGTCATCTGTTCTAGAAAGGCATCATTCAATTCATCAGTCTGACTTGGGGGTCTGTGGTAGACTCCCACTATAACATCCCTGTTGTTTCCTTCCCCTTTAATTTTTATCCAGATGCTCTCCACCTGATTTTCAGTATTTATGTCCTGGATTTCTTCACAGGTGTAAACATTTCTGCCATATAATGCTATTCCTCCTCCTTTCCTGTTTGGCTTATTTCTCTTAAAAAGGTTATACCCCTCTATTCCTACATTCCAATCATGAGACTCATCCTACCAGGTTTCAGTGATGTCTATTATATCATATTTGCTTTATTGTGTTAGAAGTTCAAGTTCATCTTGTGTATTTTCCATGCTCTGTGCATTAATGTAGAGACATCTAAGAGCATGTGTCCTCCCCACTGGCTGCCTGTGTGAGATTTTTTTTCCTCCCACTGTTGGGTCCTTGCATCATTTGCCTTGTTCCTTCTATAACACTTTGACTATTA